GTCGCGGCACTCAGGCTGCAGTCCTTGCTCGTTGCTGCAGCAGCCACGGCCGTTCAGCGTGTGACCTGAAAGCAAGGTTGTTGGGGAATAGCCAGCACCAAACCCAGAGGAGATTGCCGAGGTAGGAGATAGCGCGTTTTCCTGTGGAGAGGAAGAACCCAACGGAACAATGCGTGGGCCTGTTTGAAGAGGGGCTCGGGTTGATAAGGCGATTCCATTGTAGCTTCTGTTAAAGTAGTACAAGCCCTGTAGAGCCATTCTAGAGACCTTCTGTTATAAATTAAATTAATCCCCTTAATTATGTTGTAGTATACCAGGAGAATTATTTGCATGCGTATGTGGGGGAGGTTTTTTCGCTTTCTGTAGGGAGGTGAAAATGAGCGTTGTGCAAGAGCTTAGGCATTTTTCAGGGTATTATGCTCTCTACAACGTAAGTATATTAAAAAGGTTTTGGTTTTGTGCATGTTAGTACATTCTTGTAGAGCACAAGGTTACTCACCTAGCAGGTAAAGTCTTCAGTCACTTAAATCCCAGACGACATACTTGCATTTATCCATAATATTTTTGTGTATTTACTATGGAGTCTGGTGCTGTAGCACACAGCACAGGTACAAATACTGGACTATTTGGTGCGCAGTATCAGTAATACCCTAGGTAACCTTGTTTGTTCTGAGATCTTGTTACTGCTTCTCTAGAAATACTAAAAGTGAAGTCCCGAAAGGCACAGCGCTATTGCGTTTCTCACCATGTTTTAATCTTTGCAGGAGGCCCACCTGCACCTCGTTTTCTGGCTGTGCTTGTACACAGAGCAAAGGCAATAATTCCTCTCTTTAATGTTTTCCAGGTTATTCAGAATTCATTCTCATGTCAGCGGAAAGCTCAACCATCACAGTCCGTCTTGTTCGCTCTTTTGAACACCGGAACTTCAGGCCTGTGGTGTATCATGGAGTTAACTTGGACCAGACAGTAAAGCAGTTCATTAATTTTGTGCAGAAGGGTAAGGGGCCGTTGTCTCATTCATTCGTTTCAGTCCCATGTGTTGCTGTCTCTGCACAAGAAACCGGACGGGAGCAAATGAGCGGGAATTCTGTGGCTTTGGTGGAGACACCAGATTTGTGTTTACATCCGCTGCGTGCTCTCCTCCCTTGGATGAGTGGTCTGGAGTTAATAAGAGCTTCCATGGTCAGTGTGCCGTGCCTAAATTTGGGAAGACTGCTCCCCCTGCCCCAATTCCCAGGTTTAGTCAAAAAGAGACGAGAGCATTGCTGTGTTTGGCTCGGCACCTCAGGCTGCTTGAGTGGTGCTGTCAGGTAGCTATTCATAAATTAACAGGAGTAAATTAATAGAATATAGAGAGCCTTTGATCTTTAGGAACTGCACCGATACGTGGAATGTGGGAACGCAGGTCTGTTTGCTATTTGTGAGAACAGAGCATCTTGAAAAACTGTTTTTGACACTGTGAGGTCTCACTGTGCATGTTTGCTTCTGTGTCCATCTTGAGCTTTGTGGTGCAGATTTGCTCATCTATTGGCTTTATGTTTTAGAAACCTGGCTGAAAGTGACAGTGTATCTAAAAGGTAATTAACGTAGGCCAGCCCACGCAGCAACTCAGGAGTTAGGGTGTTACCCTAATCTTGCAGGTGTATTTCTACATGCCTAAATGGAGACATTCAAAGGGTGCAGAATAACATCATCTGATTTTTGACATGATGTCAGCTTAAACAAGTTTTGAACTGTTAGAGCTGAGAACATTCGAGCAACTCCTAGGACATTGCCCTGAGCCTCACAGCTGTATTGTGTTCCATGCTTCTAGACAGTGACAGGCATGGCAAGATCTTAGGATGCTTTTGGAAAGCAGTTTCAGAACATGTGGTACAGCTGCTGTTGTGAAGAATAAAGTAAAAAACAATGCTAAGTAACTTGCTTTTGATGTGTGCAATATTGCAACTCGCTGTTATTTGAGACAAAGCTGGTGTCTTGAACAAGACTTTTTGGAACCTCATTCCACAGATAGATGGAGAGTGCTGTTCCTGGTCCAAAAGGAGCCGTGTTCCTTCCTTTGCTGGAAGCTGCTTTGAAGGGGGAGTTTGAGATAAATTGTTAAACTACTGATGAAATTATGGTTTCAGCCGCCTTGCTGCTGAGCACCCCACAAATGGCTGGGCCTTCCAGGGCCCTGGTTAAATCCCTGGGTGTCACTGGGAACACTGGCACCAGGGAGCAAATGAGCGGGAATTCTGTGGCTTTGGTGGAGACACCAGATTTGTGTTTACATCCCCTGTGTGCTCTCCTCCCTTGGATGAGCTGTCTGGAGTTAATAAGAGCTTCCATGGTCAGTGTGCCGTGCCTGAATTTGGGAAGACTGCTCCCCCTGCCCCAATTCCCAGGTTTAGTCAAAAAGAGACGAGAGCATTGCTGCGTTTAGCTCGGCGCCTCAGGCTGCTTGAGTGGTGCTGTCAGGTAGCTATTCATAAATTAACAGGAGTAAATTAATAGAATATAGAGAGCCTTTGATCTTTAGGAACTGCACCGATACGTGGAATGTGGGAACGCAGGTCTGTTTGCTATTTGTGAGAACAGCGCCTCTTGAAAAACTGTTTTTGACACTGTGAGGTCTCACTGTGCATGTTTGCTTCTGTGTCCATCTTGAGCTTTGTGGTGCAGATTTGCTCATCTATTGGCTTTATGTTTTAGAAACCTGGCTGAAAGTGACAGTGTATCTAAAAGGTAATTAACGTAGGCCAGCCCACGCAGCAACTCAGGAGTTAGGGTGTTACCCTAATCTTGCAGGTGTATTTCTACATGCCTAAATGGAGACATTCAAAGGGTGCAGAATAACATCATCTGATTTTTGACATGATGTCAGCTTAAACAAGTTTTGAACTGTTAGAGCTGAGAACATTCGAGCAACTCCTAGGACATTGCCCTGAGCCTCACAGCTGTATTGTGTTCCATGCTTCTAGACAGTGACAGGCATGGCAAGATCTTAGGATGCTTTTGGAAAGCAGTTTCAGAACATGTGGTACAGCTGCTGTTGTGAAGAATAAAGTAAAAAACAATGCTAAGTAACTTGCTTTTGATGTGTGCAATATTGCAACTCGCTGTTATTTGAGACAAAGCTGGTGTCTTGAACAAGACTTTTTGGAACCTCATTCCACAGATAGATGGAGAGTGCTGTTCCTGGTCCAAAAGGAGCCGTGTTCCTTCCTTTGCTGGAAGCTGCTTTGAAGGGGGAGTTTGAGATAAATTGTTAAACTACTGATGAAATTATGGTTTCAGCCGTCTTGCTGCTGAGCACCCCACAAATGGCTGGGCCTTCCAGGGCCCTGGTTAAATCCCTGGGTGTCACTGGGAACACTGGCACCAGGGAAGGTGTTGGTGTTCTTGCAGTTGCTTACGGGCAGTGCCCTGTGTGTGGCTAAAGAGTTAATTTTCTACATGTTGGCTTCCTTTTTGTGGATGTTTCCTGTGGCTTTTCCCTGAACAATTCTGTTATGAATGACAGTTGTTAGCTTTTTGTATGAGGTAGAGAGAGATGGTGTGCAAACCATAAACAGGGTGTTCCTGGCAGATTTCTGAAGGATCGACTCCGGGGATCATACCCTAACTGCATTGACTCACTGTCCTCATGGGTTGTTGTGTTCAGAGGGACTTCAAGCTCAAGTTAACAGAGTAACTGTAGAATCTGAGCCACAGGTTGTTTTAATATTTGATGCTCAAACAAGTCTCCTGTGTTGTGGATTTATTTTGGTGTAAAGGATGTCCAGGATGTATGCATAACAGAATGGAAAATAAAATACTGGAAATGGAAAAAAAAGACTGCTTTGTTTTAACTTGGTGCTTTTATTTTAATAGATGTGCCTTCAAGAACAGGACTTCCTCCTCCTTTCAAAAATTACAAGTATGGTACGTGGGTATTTTTCTTGTTTTAATTCATGTAAAATGCAGGCATAGTATTATATACCAGTTCCTATGCGTTTTAGAAGAGAACTGCTGTAGAATACGCGTGCTGGTGGCAGTGCCTGCCTACGTTTACAACTCTGTCCAGTTCTGGTAGCTGGGGTTATGCCACTGGGATTGTGTCTACAGAACTTGACCATTATTTTGAGTTTCCGTATTAATCTTTGGATTAGGCTGCATGTTATATATTATTTGCTAATTGGTACTGATGGTTTTAGATATTAATTTTTTATTACTTTTATAAGTGCCTTTTAACTCTGTTTTTACTCTAGTGAGCAGCTTGTGATCTCAAACGCTTTGAAATTGTAGTTCTCTATGTGCTTATGTATTTTGGTATGTATTTACTAATTGTGAAGTCAGAAAGGATGGTGAAGTGGGAGCTGAAGGCAGTAAATGGAAAATGCTGAAGGCTTACATACTTAAATAATTGACACGATATATGAGAAGCAGGGGAACTTTGCTCAAAGTAGTGGTGTGAAATTTAGGCTGACTTTATCCTCTAATGTAAAGCTATGTGCATATTTCCTTTTTGTGAGGACTGGCATGAACACATGCAATTCATCTGTTTGGGACAGAATATATTTTCAAAATAGACTAAATTACTTCCTTTCTGGGAGTTTAACTCGCATGTCAGTAACATGTGTTTTCCTACGCTTGGCAATTCTGAAAGTTCCCTTGGAGTTCTGCTGCAAGTGATCCTGTGTCTCCCATGTTCTTGGAGCTGACAAACTCCTTCCATTACAGTGATTCAAATAATTGAATGAGGAACCTACTTACTACATGTGAATGGTAATAGACTTTATTTGCCTATTCAAAAACAAACAAACAAGAAAGCTAAGGATTTCATTCTGTGATCTTGCTGATGGTGAAACAGATACTGCAGAATGAAAGCAGAAAAAGAGTTAAGGATTAAGATTTATGATAGGTCAGTGGCAAGGACTTGATTGTTACTAGTATTTTTAATATATTACCTAAGGTCTTAAAATCTAGGTAACTGTAAGTTTGAATGTGGAGGTGCCCTTCCCCCCTCTAGTATCTGGCTTTTAGGCTGACTTTATCCTCTAATGTAAAGCTATGTGCATATTTCCTTTTTGTGAGGACTGGCATGAACACATGCAATTCATCTGTTTGGGACAGAATATATTTTCAAAATAGACTAAATTACTTCCTTTCTGGGAGTTTAACTCGCATGTCAGTAACATGTGTTTTCCTACGCTTGGCAATTCTGAAAGTTCCCTTGGAGTTCTGCTGCAAGTGATCCTGTGTCTCCCATGTTCTTGGAGCTGACAAACTCCTTCCATTACAGTGATTCAAATAATTGAATGAGGAACCTACTTACTACATGTGAATGGTAATAGACTTTATTTGCCTATTCAAAAACAAACAAACAAGAAAGCTAAGGATTTCATTCTGTGATCTTGCTGATGGTGAAACAGATACTGCAGAATGAAAGCAGAAAAAGAGTTAAGGATTAAGATTTATGATAGGTCAGTGGCAAGGACTTGATTGTTACTAGTATTTTTAATATATTACCTAAGGTCTTAAAATCTAGGTAACTGTAAGTTTGAATGTGGAGGTGCCCTTCCCCCCTCTAGTATCTGGCTTTGGCCAGATGAGGAGGTCTTATCTAGAACTGCTGCGATCAGTTGTATTCCTGGTGCTGCCTGCCCCTGCTGCTAGTTCTTTCATCACTTAAGAGCATCAGTGTAGATTTTCCCAAGGCATATGTTGTGGCTGAGCACCTGACTGTGCTGTTTAGGACTGAGCATAATGTGGGTGAAAAACACTGCAGAACTTTAAAACCTGTTACACCAGTTAGTGGGGGCCTACTTACAGTGGGATGGTGCTGGCTGCCTGGAAATTTTCACACAGAAAAATAAAAGCCAAGTTCCTCACCTTCCCTTCAGGCTGTGAATCATCCAGGTTCATGTTTTTGGCATCTCGTGTGTGCTCTACTGTCTTTCTTGTATTTTGGTGGTGAAAGAGCAGTGAGACTTCTGCATGAACAGTGCTGGGAAGAGTCAGATTTTTCCTTCTGCTTTGTTTGGCAGTGCCAGAAATCTCAGTTGGACCTGGCTGTCTCCTACCTTGTCTGTTTCGGCTTCTGTCCCTGCAGAATTCAGCACCACTTTGTTCTCCCAACATCATATGTAATGCCGTCACATTTTTCCTCTTGGCTTAGTGCTCTAACTCAAATCTCAAAGCTTATGGCTTTCAGTTTCTCTTTGTTTCTTTGTAGATAGCATTCTTGTCCTTGTTTTAGAACTCTTCTCAGTCAGCCTTCTCATCTTACTACCCCATCATTGCCATCTTTTCATTGATGATGGCAGCCTGGGTGCCAGTTTGTCTCATGAGCTGCTTCTCAATTTTTTTTTTTTTTTCCCCATGAATGTGGAGCAGTATGGTAGATACTTCACAGAATCAGACCTAGAAAGTGATTTCTTGTCTGTTGTCGTGGAAGATCTGTTACCAGTAAAGGAAAGAGAAAAATTTGGGAATACGATTGAGTGGGACTAAATGGGTGTGAAACAGCAAAGGCAATTGAGAGCACGTAAGGCTTTAGCTAGGATGAGAAGAGACTGTGGTTTCACGTCTGTAGCAGGGTTAGAGAAGCCATTTAATAGCTCGGGTGAAGACACGGTGAACTGCTGGATGCCACTGGTGGAGTTGTGAACAAGTAGAATTGAGACAATAGTTCAGAGCATGACTGGGCAAAGGCTAGAGAAAAGGGAATCTGACAAAGTAGATGGAGAAATTTAAAATAAACAGGCAGAGGCCGGACAGTATTTGCTGTGGTAGAAAGGTTTCATGACTGCTGTATATTTTTGCTGTGATTGCTTGGTCTTTTTGCAATGCTTCTTTGCAAGATGATCCTGGTGATTGCAATTTAATATGTGTCTTGCTGCGAATACTGCAATTATTACAGCATAAGGCTGCCTTCTCAGTGACTTCTGCAGTGGGAATACGGAGTAGTTTTGACCTCCTGTAATGTTTTAAATAAAACGTTCAAAATGGGCCAGAGTGGTATGGAAGCAAATTTCTGAATGGGAATGTGTTCTCTGTTATTCTGAACATCTGAATACTTGCTCTCGGTAGTTTGAAAGTTGTTTTAGCCTATATTCAACTTTCTCGCATCCTTCTCTTAGCAGACTATTTCAACATGTAGTGTTCAGCTAATGCACAAAACCAAAGAAGAGGAGCAGGCAAACAGAACTCTCTTTGCTTCTTTGCTGTGAAGGGATTAATGTGTTATTCTGAATTTGTTCAAACACAGAGGCTTTGGAGTTTGGTTTTGGTTTGAAGTGCTGCATGGGCATCTTCTGACTTCCGTTCCCTCTGGGTCTTTGCACTCATCTGGTGATTTTAGTGACCACATTATTTTCCCTTTTTTTCCTCTTTGGTTAACAAAGCCCTGCCCACATTGCTAGAGGAAAGCGGTATTTCTTTTTTTGTCTAGCATAATTTCTTAAAGTGCTACACTGCACAAGCATATCAGAGGTAAATATTATTGAAGAGGGCATAACATTAAAAAGAGGAGAGGCAGTACGTGTTCATGGCAAATGGATGTGCTGAACAAAATTTCTACCATCGGTGCTTTCTTCATGAGAAGGAAAATTTCAAGGAATGGTCCAAAGTGGTCAGGTTACTGTGTCTTAATCACTTGCTGCCTGTCAACTTAACAGCATGAATACTATTTGTGCTACCCCAGTTGCATGTGTAAATCCTGTTAGATTAAAACACCCTAAATGGCATTTAAATTGATGTGTTTTGACTGGCAAGTGGGATGGTCATTAGTTAGTTATTGTAATTCAGCCAGCAGACAAAAGCCCAGTAGGATGTGGTACCTTACTGTTGGATTGACTGGTTTAAGACTGTGGCTGCAGGACTGGGGAATTAAGATGTTTTATCCTCTTTTCAGTTAAATACACAAAATTGTTAATAGTGAAAGATTTTGAACCTTACCCCTCTGTCTCTTTTTCCCCACGTACAACTTTCAGTGTTACCTGCCTATTAAGCCTTATTTTAGGAAAACATTGTATTTTCTTTCAGATACAATGAAGATTATTCACCAAGCACACAAATCTAAGGTATGATTATTAGCGGTGTTCTTCCCCCTTTACATGCCTTAATGCAGGCAGATCTCTGCACAGGCGAACAAGACTGGGGCAGAGACAGTCAGTAAATTCTTATCTTTGTATTCTGGTTCTCTGATTTGTAGACTGGTGAACTTGTAGTGAGTTTGGAAGATGATGACAAACTGATTTTGAAAGAAGACAGTACACTGAAAGCAGCTGGAGTAGGTAGGAGTACATTTGTGTTGACTGAAGGTGCGGTTCATTGTGGTTGTCATTAAACTGATAACTGGCTGATTATGTTTGGATAGCCTGCTGAAAAGTAAATGCTATTCCTGATGCTCTTTACACTACTTGATAATTATTCAGGGGAGAAGAGGGGATAATGTACATTCAAATCATCGGACTGAGGGCAGCAGGTATCTGCACTCCAAATGTTCAGAATGCAAATTGTGATTTTTAGAGGGTATGCTTATAATTCTGCTGAGAGTAATTTTAAATGATTGACAGATAGGTTATTAGTACCGTGTCTGCTTAGTCTTATCAGTAACATTTAAACTGATGTTTTGGTTAGAAATGTAAGTAGTGGAACCAGCATGGAATAATGAAACAAGATTAGATTTGTTTAATGTGCAGCATAGAGTGCCTGATAGCCAGATTGCTCAGGAAAGCTCAAGCAGCGTCGTTCAGAGAATGTGCTGAACATAGCAAAGAGCTGAAACTTGACCTGATTTCTCACGTTTTGACAGGGGACTACATATAGGGCATGTCTTTTGGCAATGTAAAGAAATGTCTGTCATGATAAAATTGATGGTCCCTGGATGTCCTTTGGGCTTCTCATAAATGCGGCTGAATGACTTTGTGGCAGCAGGGTACTTAAGGGATGTGGTTGCATTCCACCTTGATACGGTCACTTGCTTATTTGAATCTGATTTGCCTAGCTAGAACGCAGAACTGCCTGCGCTCGAAGTGCAGGGGTGTCGCAGAGAAAGCTCCCGCCCGTTCCCGATGCCCTCTGATTGCTCCCCAGCTAGTCAGTGGGATTTCTTTCTCGTAGGTTTCTTGGCTCTTTTGTTTCCTGCCTTTTACTTTCTGCTTTTAAGTGACTTGGGATATCTCTTTAACGTGTTTTTTTTTCTGGGATGCACTGCAACTGGCCTCGCTATGCATTTCCTAAGGGTCTTTGGGCATTCCTATAATGTGAATGATTGTTATTCTGTGGCTGTTTGTACTAAACCAGCCTTTTTTATGTGGGGAAAAAAGGTTCCTTGGGAAAGAGGATTACCGGCACTCAAGTCTTACAGATTTGTAATTTAATTTGCAGAAGATTCATTTAAGTATGCTGCTTATATACCTAAGACATAAGAGGCAGTTCAGGAAGGGGACTGATGACAGTGCCAAATGTTGAACTAGAAGTGGTGTTGTCCAGAGCTGCCTGCTTTATAAAAGGCATTGATAATATTTGTATATATTATCTGTCTTTGAAACTAGGTTTGTGGCTACAACAGTGAAACAGTAGGATGTGATCTCAAAAAAGGTGTCAAAACATCAGAGTAAATTTTATAGTGAAAGGAAATTGGAATAGACCGGTCTGTTCTGTGTCTCCGAACAAAGAGAGGGGTGGCCTATTCAGGGAAGAACACAATTGAAAGCTGCTTTTAATTTTTTTTTCAGAATAACTAATGGCAGGTAGTCATTAGTACGTAGTGGGTATTTATGACAGAAAAGAAAAACTCTTGCTTTGTAAAATGCAGTGTGCCATTATACCATTTTGAATTTTGGTATGTCAATACAAAAATTAGCTAAGTTGGGAGTGGGGTCTTTCTGGTAAAATCTTGAAGAAGTCCTCCTCCAACAAGAAGCAGAAAAGAGTAAACCAAGGAAATGAAGTATGATAGCATATACCACCAGTCCTCGTTTTGTACGTTTGCATCTCAATCAGTAAGAACATTTGAAATCTGCTATTGACATACTATGTTTTTCCAGTGTCTAGTCTGGACAAGATTCACTAGAATAAAACTGAGAGTTGCCATTAGAAAATATGAGAAATTCTGAGACACGCAGAAAATTGTTTCTAAGGTGCAGTTGATTGCCCTTGGCACTTTACGGGGTTGGGCTAGAGAGTTATAAATTATGAGGACATTAGATAAGTATCCTCAGGAAAGCCTCTGTGGTAGTGATTATTATTACAGCTATTATTTAGTCAGCAAAGTTAATGCTTGCCTGTTTTTTTTAAAAGCAGGGTGTATGTTAATAAAGTGTTCAGCATTCATTGCAAACAGTCTTGTCTGTTTTCTAGTTGAGATTCTAAAACCCCTTCTGCTCTTTATTTTTTTCTTTTTTACAAGACAGGCAGACTTCATTAACTTCAGGTTTAATTTAAAAAACGAATGTGGAACTTATTGGCTCAGCACCTTAAAGAATTCCATGTTTAATAATTGTGAAGGCTTTCCATCAGATTTGTCTGTGTTCTGAATTAGTAATGTTGCTGACTTAATTGTTTTAGAAGAGGAAGTCCTTGACCTACTGGGTTGAAAGAATTGTGACTGCTCTGAACCTTTGTGGGTCCTTTAGCTCTGCCATATCCCCTGTGAATAATTAGAGGTATTTGAAGGTATTGCTGGAGAAGCCAATTTGTGTCTTTCACTTTGCATATTGTTGAAGCCTCATGAATTAATCATCAGCAGGGCAAAAAATTAACTTCTTGAGACACATATTTTGATGGGTCATGAGGGAGAATGTAAAGTGATCTGTAAAATATTCTACTGATCCTCTAAGTATGAAATTATTACACCTACAGGCTAATTTAATGGAAAAAATAGTATCTTTCCCCCTTTCCTAACAGAAAAATGCACAAAAAAAGAGAAAATCATGCTTCGTTATTTTTCTGGCATTTGAAGGCATTAGAAATGCAATCACTTAATTTGCTGAAAGCTTATACAAACAATTCTGAAGCCTGTGTTAAACAAATCTTGAGGGGTCTTGTGTACATATTTACTTCTATATATTCAGCATCTTGTTTTTGTTTTTAAACGAGGTTAAACAACATCTTTTATACTGGAATAATTTTTTTAGTAAAAATATGGGGGGGTGGAGGGGGGAGTATGTGGAGATTTATGATTGTCTTTGGCCAAAAAGTTGCTAGTTGTCTTCTAAGATTCAGAATAGCTGGCTGTTGGGTGGTTCATTTACTAGAGTGCTAAATATTTAATTTTTTATTTGTTCTAGCAAATGAGACCGAATTAGCATTCTTCTGTGAGCAAGATTACAGAAACTACAAAGCTAATCCTGTTTCGGCCTGGTGAAGATCCCAAGAGATTGTTTTGTTTTCCCATACCTGTTGTAAATTTTCCTTATTCTGCTTAATGAGATTTTTCTTAAAGATCAATAAATCCTAGAGGATTGCTTTGCAAACAGTGCAGTTCCCTTCCTATAGAAATTAATTTCTGTCAGTATGCTGAGACTGAGAGAAGGAAAACTGGGGGACATAAATGACTCTTTTTCTTGCTCACATTTCTTTTTCCTTTGCTTGCCTCTTGCAATGCAGGCAGTGCAAACGATCTCTGACCTGTGACGTGTTCTCGGTGCGATCCTACTGCAGACATTAGCTGCGTATGGAGATTACACAGTGCACAGCAAGATCCCACCACACTACTAACTTCTAACAAAAATGGAAATGTTTTATGGCCAGATCACTGGGTATTCCTGAGCTTGAGAAGAAAATCTCTCTGTTTCAAGTCATAGCTTTAGTTCTCTCATTTTATGTTTGGTCTCTTTTGCTGAAGTGGTGCAGACTGGCGAGTGTTCCATGCTCTTCACTGGTAAATGCTGTCCTTTATGCTCTCTTGCAGCTTGCTGAAAGGGACAAATGACTGTTGGGAGGCTTTTGTGTTCAAGGACCAGCTTGCCTGTTTCTAGCTTTACTTAATGGAGACACCTTGGTGTAAGAGGTAGCAACCTGAGCTCTGCCAGGACATCAGTGTGCATAGCTAGGAATTGGGCATTTTTCCAAATGGAGTGAAAGCTCATGGTTTCAGTTGTGAGAATAAAACCTGAATGACTGCATTTTTGCAAGGAGAGGCCCAGTCTGTGAGCCAAGTGTTCAGGACTGGAATTGATTCTTTACTGCTTTCCAAGAGCCAAATACTCTTGTTGCTATGTGTTAGTTCTTGGTAATTCCTGGCTTTCCTACTACATTAACCAAATCAACAATAAGAAATATTAGTCGTGCATCAAATAAAGTACCTTTAGATAGACTCTGCTTATGAAACTTCTGTTTAGGGGTTACCAAGATGAGACACTGTGCCTTTAAGCCTCTCCACTGAAATACAAGTGGTGCTGGCTCCGTGTCTTAGCAGGCTGGTTGAGCCTAGGCTCTGCTAAATTAAATGAGACCTCATACAATTGCTTTGGACCCAGACATCTACTCGAAGCTCTGAGGGAGAGCTGACACCTCCATTTCCACTAGAGACTTTCCAGAGAAGTAAGCTTACCGTTTCCTAGAGGTTTGATGATTTTTTTTTTTTAATTGACAAGTGATAGTGAAAGCAGATGCCTGATTTCCAAGGTATCTAAATAAAAGTTCTCCTTACTTTAGATGTAGAGCCAAAGAAACCTGTATGTATTGTTCCCACCTCATTTTCTTCATCCTTCCTAACAACTCGCTGGTTTAGGCTGGTTTCGGTAGCTGGTGTTACTCACTGACAGCTTTGCTCCAAGCCAAGTTTTATTCTCTTGTGAAAGCAGTCTGCCACTTTGTCGTCTGCAATTACAAGGGTGATTCTGTCTTTAACTTGTAAGGAGGAATCCTGTGTCACTGAAGTCACCTGTGTACGCTTGGGATTTATGTGCTGCTATCTATGCTCTGATGAATCTGTGGGGAGAACTTGGCACTTCTCTTTCTGTTGCTGGTAGCTGCTCCCCAAACACGGGCCCATGTCTCAGCGACCTCCTTTCAAGTCTGTCACGTTTGCCAGATTCATCTGGCTGATGCGGGTTTGTACCAGTCTTCACAGACAGTTTAAGCTCATGCATTGCACTCCAGAGTACACCAGCTTTGTTCAGCCAAGTTTGCAATAATGGAGGTAACTGTGTAAGAAGTAGATGGCATACTGGAGAGACGAGTGTCTCAGACTGTCCTACCAAGGCATCTAGGTGACGTCCGTCAGCACGCTCAGGCTCTCAGACTGAGCAAACACTGTCATTCTCTTCCTCGTCTTCTGAGAATTTGAATTTGGTCTTCAGCCCTTTCAGACAGATTTGAATCGGTTTTGCGATCTCTTTCTCTAAGGCATTTGTGTTTGAAAGAGTCACCAAATTTTAACAGCTGTCATTTCTGGGCTGATACAGTTACAAATGTTCAGTGCCACATCGAGTGTGGCACAGTGAAGGGAGCAATTCTACAGCATCAACTAGAAAAAAGTAAATGTTTTAATGCAAATAATCACGAATGATGTGTCTGGCAGTCCAGACCAGCTTCTCTCTCCAAGGGAAGAGTTAAACTACTGCTTTGTGAGCTCTGGTCTGGCCGGCAGTGGCACTTCGTTGGCTCCTTTCTGCAGCAGCACAGTAGAGCCTTTTGTAATGCTCTCAGTGACCACACTTGTAAACTGGATTCTTCCCCAAGTGTTTTTCTACTGTGTTATTTTCATCAGACCTTTAGTAATGCTTCTTTCAAATAAACCCCATAAAACCATAGATAATAACTGAGAGCTTGTTTAGATAGGTGCTGTTCCAGCATTTTTCAGTAGGTTTGATTCCACTGTTGTTGAGTAATGAATGATATCTATGAACTGGCTAATAAATTACTAAAGACTGAGATGCCTTTGCCCATGTTGTTATGAAATCCTCTTTCTATTGAAGGAAACCACCTTTGGAGTTGGTACCGTGGTTTGCCATCCTGGCAGAGGTCATCAACTGCATTGGTTTACAATTACTGTTGGTGAAAGGTGGCATCTCCGTAGTGTGTAGTGGGGTAAATCATACAGCTTTGCTAGTGCTCTTAGACATCATGGGGTTAATAAGGATTCATCTTTCTGTATGATGTCCTTGGAGCCTTTCACCAGCCTTTTTCTTGAACAGAAAGAAAAGCATCCAGAGTGGACACTGAAATAAGATGCAGCTTCTCCGGTGTGTAGCACTGTAGCAGGGAAAGGCACTGAGACTGGAAGCTGGGGCGTGTGTGTGGCTTGGATGTTTCTTGGAGAAAGAAAATCACTTCAGAGAGGCTGGAGTTTTAGTTTGGAGGTGTGGAAGAATAGCTACCAAAGGAGAAGAGAGGATATTAGGAAAGGAATTACCGTGAAGAGGAAAAGGGGCTAATAGTGTAACTGAATAAGCACACAAAATCTTGACTGTACAACACTCTTGGCACAGAAGTACTGGAGTAGTGCTGCTTTTTGTACCATTAAAGGTATGAAAATAGTGCATTTCAATAATTTTTGGAATTGAACTCAAACTGCTGGAATAGGCATCTTGGTTTTTCTGTTGTTATATTTTCTGCATGCAGCAGTTTCTGTGTGTTTTTCTGTCCAGAGGTAGTTATGTTGCCTCTTCAGAAGCAAGAGTTAAGAAAGCTGCTGACACAGATAGCTGAGTGAAATGTTTACAGTTACCAGTGGCACAAAGGAGTCCTCAAAGATCTGGTATGCACCACTGTTAAAGTTGGGGAGCTGCTTTCTGTGATGCCAACGTTCTGTCTTAGAGGTGATCCAGAAATAAGCTGTAAGCTTGCAAGTAGCATTCCAAGAGTTACTACATCCATGACAGGACATCCATGACAGGACATCCATGGGTCCTGTCCTTGCAAGCTAATGGCCACAGGAATGCTGAGTGTCCGGGGATCAGGAGTGAGAAAACAGACCGTGCGATGCGATATTCATTCTTTGTCTGGGATGACCGATAGGATCCTGGCTTCAGGGGCACTTCAGCCGGCCGGAGGCGTTACAGATGCGGAAGGCAAGTGCAGGCTTTTGCTTTATTGAACAGTTTGAACTGAGCTCAGCCTTGCTGGTTGGCACCCCATCCTCCCTCCGTGACTTCCTTGTCGTACTTGGCACAGATCTGCAGATGATCAGTGAACCAAGCGATGATTCCTGGTAGACAGCTTTGCTACTTTTCATATTATGAGGACATTGACTTTTTCGTGCTACCTTTCCCGTTCAGTTAGAGAAACCAACACGCCTTTGCATGCTTTCCCAGCCGCTTCCCTCTGCTTCTTGCTGCCACCTCTGCTGATTTGCAGTGCTTCATCTGATCTGCAATCGCGGCATTTCCTGTGACAGTGAATGTACGTTATTTTTGTTTTGTATTCGTGAAGAAATATGCTTGGAAATAAAGAGGAGACCTTTTCTACGCTGTTGTTAATAGTGCACTACAAAGGATCCTTTGTTGCTTTACAGGAGGACTTGCATAGGGCAGCAGTGTCCACTGGTCAGGGGAAACAAAAATGTTTTTATCATAATGCTTTGTGTCTTGGAGAACTTACATCTGGAATGCAAAAAAAGAAAAAGGCAACGAAAAGCCCAGAGCTGTTGCCATTAACTGCCTTTGTCTGCAGAGAAAGCCACCAGATGTCAGCACAGCCTGTGCTTTCGTTCTCCAGAACCTGTGTAAGCCAAGAAATCTGTAACGTTTCTGAAAAGTGCTTATCTGTGAATTCGCTTAGCCTGCAAAGTCTGTACTAGGGTTCTGGTGATGAAAGCTGAATCCTTCCTTGCAGGAAGTATCTCCTTTTATATTAAAATCAAAAAGCGGCAAATTGAACTGGTATCAGTGCTTAAATTCCTCTTGTTAAAGAGCATCCTTTGTGGAGCCAGTTCCAGCGCATCTAAATCTTTGCATGCTGTGAGGAGGCATTTGCAGAACATTCATTTGAAGAATTGTCTGGATAAGATCAGTGTTGATTTGCTGAGCTTTTGTAAAGTAGACTTTAAATATGTCTATTTTTTTTTTAAACACAAGGAAAACCACCCGGAACAGACACACATGCAAAGCAGAGCAAAACATCTTCAGCAACACAGCTTAAACACACAACCAGTGTGTCCTGCATGTGTCTGAACCTAAGCTCCGGCTATTTCTTCCGTGCAGTGCGAGGGCTGAGGAGAACCTGGCACTGCGTTCTCTGGGCCACGCTTCCGGAGCTGTGACGAGCGGAGATGGCATGTGAGCTTTGGAGCCCAAACCCAAGCACTGTGCACAGCTTATGCTGTCGGTGATTGAAGTGTGCATAGATGCTGCCTGTTAAAAGGGTCAACTTGAACGGTTGCACAGGGACAAGGTGCGATGGAGCTGAGATTCCTGTCACTTTTCTTGCAGCAGCTTGCAAATGCCAGGGAGACTATCGAAGAGAGGGAAGTTAAGTGACAGGTAGAGCCTGGGTG